AAGCTGGTACGGAGAGGTCTGACAGGCACCACCACGGAACACAGAACAGCACTGGCCACGCACCCTGCCGCAGTCAGGAAGAGGGAGCCATTGCTGAAGCATCTTGCCCACTGAGGAGTGGCCATCAACCCCAAGATTTCAAGGGTTCTCTAAGAAGTAAAAACATCTATACCCAGAGCCAAACAACTGACTGGTAACTGAAGGTTAAATCCCTGGCCACATTCACCCACCTTGCAGGAGTGGAATCAAAGAGAAGGTGTGTGTGTGTGTGTGTGTGTGTGTGTGTGTGTGTGTGTGGCAACAGAGGTGAAGCAGGTACCCCAACCTCAGGGCCAACGCTGTTAATTGTGAAGCCTGTAGCAATCCCGCAACAGCAGTAGCTCAGAATGAGGCTGATGCCCCGCTCACTCCTAAGCTCACCTCTCCTAGGACCAGCAAGTTATACCCTGGCTTTTTTTAGTTGCCATATTTGAAGTAGTTATTTGCTTCTTACATACCAAAGGTTGTACACAGGAGATGCTCACTCAGCACCAGAACACAATTCCAGCTGTGCCACAACTGGCTGAGGATCAGGACACTGCCAGCTTTGCTTTTTTTTTTTTTGGTGGTACTGAGGCTTGAGCTCAGGGCTCTGAGCTTGCTAGGCAGGTACGCTACCTCTTGAGCCATGTTCCCAGCCCATGCCTCATCTCCTGGGAGCTTAGAAGGCCTACCAGGCTAGACCACATGACCTGAAGCAGTAGACACTCTCATAGCCACCCCCACATGCCTTAAGATGTGCTCACAAGCTCCAGGGCTGCGCAGGTGGAACTCCTGTGTGCAGGCCACGCCCTGGCCCTCCACCAGGGCGAGGACTACACAGGCCTGGAGGCCAAAGCCAAGTGCTTCTGCCAAATCACCCATCGCAGTCGTGCAAAAGGATGATTTGACCAAACCACGGTCGGTGGAAAAGCACCAGCCAGGGCAGGCAGAGGAACACTACTTGAAATGGCTCCTCAACTTGCCAAGCAGTACAATGTTTGCTCTACTTCAAATAGAGTAAATAGCTTATTTCCTCAGAAAGGGCATTTAAAAAGTTCTGTTCTCATCGAAGGGAAAGTAGAAAGAAGAGCCCTGGCCTTTACTCACCTGAGCCAGATCACGTGATCCCAGCCTTCCATCCCTCCATGACAAGGCAGCAGGTTTGGCCTGAACATTCTACTCAAACCCACCAGCTCACAGCCCCTCATCCTGTGTAATTAGCCCAGAACCCCTCCAGGGAGTGGATGCTGTTGTTGACTGCTTCCGAATGTCCCGTTGACACGGATGAAAATGTAAAAGCATGTTTCTGTGCAAGTGATTTTTAAACCAGTTTTTGGTGCCAGTCCTAGGGCTTGGATGCTGTCCCTGAGATTTTTTTCTGTCTCTCAAGGCCAGCACTCTACCACTTGAGCCACCCCTCCAGTTCTAGCTTTTTGGTGGATAACGAACTAAGAGTCGCACAGTCTTTCCCGTCAAGGCTGCCTTCCAACTGTGATCCTCAGATCTCAGCCTCTTACTGAACAGCTAAGATTACAGGTGTGAACCACCAGGGCCCGGCTTGTTCACGTAAATTTGGAAGAAGTGAATTCTTTATGCCCTGAAGGTGGCTGGATTTACAACAGTGTTACAGAGTTATTATTGAAGCAGTCTCATCACACATGAAACCTCAGAGCAGAAAGCCAGGAAGACCTTGTGCAGAGCACTGGGCAAGGGCTGCGGGTGGAGTCATGCCCTATTCTGGAGCCCTGCAGCCAGTGGCTGAGGGCAGGGCCCTGCCCCTCAGGCCAGTTCGTAGGCCAACAGCAGCATCTTCACTGCCTTTCCCCAGCTTTTCTTCCGACAATGTTTCCTCCAATTCAATGTTTCTGCAGTGCTGCAGCAAGAAATGTGCCTGTCTTCACCTGGCACTGCCAGAGTGGAATCCAGGACTTCATGGTGCTAGGCCAGTGCTGTACACCATTGAGCCCCATCCTCAGTCCAGGACTAGGGGAAAATTCGTTTAATAGAGGCTGGCATCTAGCCCAGACTACCTATTGTCAGTCCGTTACTGGTTGACCAGATCTGGCTTGGTGCTTGGCAAGGTAATGTCCAATTTCTACCCTATGTCATGTATTGTACACAGCACCAGTGCTCCATCCCAGTCTGCTATATGGTCAGAAAGCTAGGTAGGATTAAGCCCAGGAAAACACCCACAGACACTAAAGATCAGTCAAGGCCAAGCCAGAAGCAAGTCTTAATAGACTGCCAAACACCCATCAGAACTATTGAGGGGCGAGGGGGGGGGCAAGGGGGGAGAAACTACTACAAAAGGAGCACCTTGCCTACAGTATCATGAGGAGAAGCTGAGATCTAGCCCTGACCAGATCTATTTTTTTTTTTCTGGGTCCGGTAGTGGGGCCTGAACTCTGGGCCTGGGCGCTGTCCCTCAGCTCTTCAGCTCAAGGCTAGCGCTCTACCACTTGAGCCACAGCACCACTTCTGGCTTTTTTCTTTTTGCTTATGTGGTCCTGAGGAATCGAACCCAGGGCCTCATGCTTGCAAGGCAAGCACTCTACCACCTTCCCAGCCCCCAGATCTATTTATAAAGTAACTAATGCCCAACAGATCATATTGTGTTCCTTTTGTTCGTTCACTCACTGACTCACTCATTCATTCATTCATATTTAGAGATGGAAGTGTCACTATGTATCTCAGGGCGGCCTTGAACTTGTCTTGCCCCAGCCTCCCCAGTGCTGAGACTGCAGATATACATGAAGGCTGGCTTTAGCTGATGGAAACTAAAAGTACTGGGGACTGGACAAAGGTTTCAGGCATACTAGGCAAGCATCCTACCACTTGAGCTATGTAGGTACCAGCCATTTTGCTTTTGAGACAGGCTCACTGCCTTTTTACCTGGGCTGGACTCAAACTCGAGACCCACCTGCCTTAAGGCTCTCAGAGGTGTTGGGATTATAGGAGTATGCCACCACACCCAGATCACATTGCTATTTATGGTGGGTATAATGGCAAACTAGATGCATCTCGGCCAATTCTTCCAGTGTAGATCCAAAACCTCAAGATCTCTGGTCTTGTTTTTGTTTTTTTTTTTTTTTTTAGCTCTTTGTGGCAGAAAAATCCAGGGCAAGTTATGTTTGTAGCATCCTCCACCACAAGTGGCACTTCTGCTTGAGGTTAACCTTGAAATGGAAACGAGTTCCAATTTCCAGGATGCTACATCGATGCTGCAAACAAGTCAACCTTCTTCACAGCTAGTAGAAATTGCAAAATTTTTCTCCCACTGAGTGACTATGTACAGGCAAGGCCCTTAAGTCTACATATGAAACCCTAATCTGATCTGGAAGGAAATGCAATGAACAGTCCTCAGAGAAGACTAACTGCTAGCTAGTTGCAGCTAGCTGCAGGACCACTGAAGTAGAAACCCAAGTGGGCTTCTGTATGGCTCATCTTCTCCCACACTTCAAGGGTCTGTGTAGGGCACACCCCTGCTTCACAGCTCACACCATGAGAGGCCATTTTTGGTCAACTACACTGGTCTGCAGTCATGTTGACTACAAAACAGAAGGCCTAAGATGGAGAGCAAAAGGTACCTGTGCACTTGACAGCGCACAAGGGTAGGGTGAACGAGAAGTGAATGCCCAGGCTTGTCATTCACCAGCAGTGTAATTCTGGGCAACTAACTCTCAACTTCAGCATCAACCCATGTACAAAGCTTTGTCCACGCTGCTACAGCCAAGGACTAGGCACAACCCATGCAGGGAGGAGGGAAGCTGGGGTAGAGGATGAAACTCCTCTAGACAGGTGAGACCCCATCACAGCAAAGCAAAGGCTTTGTTTGTTTTATGACCTAGGGGTTGAAAGCTAGTGCCTGAACATGCACTCTGGTGCGCTGCACACACAGCCCCACGGGGCCCTTTGAAGCTTATGGACTGTGAGGCTTTTCTCAGTGGATGGCGAAGACAGGGACAGAGGCACACTACTCTGTTCCTGGGGGTGGGGCTCAGAATCTGGGGTTTTTAAAGGCTTCATTGTGCACTGAAGATTGCTCTTTCCATCTGGCCCCAGAAACCCCACTGGCCAGGGCAAAACACCACAACTACCGCAGGTGAGCAGGACGCGTCCCTGTGGAACCTGCATGATCTCAAGGGCATGGAAGGAGCTATATAGTGCGGCTCTGCCACACCACTTAACTACTTACGACTTTTGTTGTTCTGCCACTGTCTGGTTTACAGATGTAGAATGGAGGGAAAATAAACAAGAGTATGACTAGGAGTAGGAAAAAGGAAGCAAGAGTCTTCAATCTCCAAGATGTCTTCTGTACTGCAGAGCTGAGCTATTTCAGAAGAGGAGGAGGCATCCCTCCGCAGCTCCACTGCTGTCCCTGAGCAGTGTGAGCAGCAGGATGACTTGAGCTGGAGAGGCAGGGCTAGCAGGGAGTCAGACCAGACACACAACCACTGACCCCACGAAGAAGAAAATCCTTCATACACCAAGTTTCCTGTCATTTCAAATATAATGAAGGAATCCCGTTCACAGGAGGACTGACTGCAGGACTGGAAAAGAGAGCATGGTTTTAAAAGCAGGTTCTCGTTTTTGAGCCTAGCAGGCCTTCATCAGCGCACTGGGAGGCCTGTGGCCCACCTGGAAGGGCAGGCGCCGGCCCCTCACTGTGTCTGCAGCCTTCCTGCGCAGAAGCGGCAGAGAGTGACCAGGGCGGGGCAGCTGTGGTCTCTGGCTCTAAATAACCAACATGTAGTGTTATATTAGGACCAAGGATTTATTCCACAATATAAACGCAACATTTGATACAAGCTACCAAAAAAGTAGGAGAGGAAGAAATGGGCAGGGCAAAAGCCAAAATACAGCCGTGGCGATGACTTACAGCTCAGTCCATCCTCTTTTACGTCACAGTGCATCAGTGACACCAGAAACTAGACATCTGCCTTCTGTCCATGAGCCCGGGCTAAAGCACCAACACACTGTTCGGGAGTTTGTTTTGTTTTTGTTTTAATTCCAGCCACTGAAACCAACATAGAAGTTATTGCTCAGATAAATAAACCTAAGTCTACCAGAGAAAAGAAAAGTGGATAAAGAAAGAAACAAACAAAACCCCCAAAAGTGAACAACTTAAAATCCCCGATGTAGTAACAGAGTGAATGAGAAAGATTCCTCCAACGAGGGGTTACTGGAGTTTCTGGGGCCCCTCTGGCGAGTTGGACTCGTAGGCCGGTAAATCCCACACGGAGGCACCTCGTCAGCGCTGTACAGGAAAAGGTGCTGGCTCCAATGCCTTCCCAACGGACAAGACAGACCCTTCCGAAACGTCCGCGTGTCACCCAACACCACAAACAGCTCTCAAGGAAAAAATACAAAAAGTGTCAAAAATTTTTTAGTTGTTTTTTTTTGTCTTTTTTTCAAAGAGTTCTGGAAAAATGATCCCGTAGGAATAGAAATAGCACCGTGTACAGGCTGGCCTAGCACCAGTCCTGTAGCTTTGCTGAGATTTGAGGAGATCTTCCTGGTTGGAGTCCTGAATTACACTGGGGGGCATTTGTTTTGTTTTTACTTTCGGCTTGGGGCGTCCTTCCCAGTGCAGCGCACACAGACGTAGTCTTCCTTCTCTGCCATCTCTGGAGAAACACCAACACAGACCTGGTGAAACCACTGATTGCAGCTGCCATCACACTGGACCCAGTCCACCTGGTTACAAAGAGCAGGGAGATGGGGGGTTCAGAGGAAAAAATGCCATTCACACGTGGGCAGGGCAGCCTCAAGAAATTCAGGCCGTTTGCCACTAACAGCCACGGGCCACCACTGGGACCTCGGGCACTGCAGCTAAGCCACATGAGCATGGCTGGCCCACCAGCCAAAGCAACCGAGTCAAAGTCATTCTTCAAGTCGCGACTGCTCTGGGCTGAGAGCTGCAGTCAGTGGCAGTACGCACAAACTTAGGCACTGCCTCCGCATCCCTCCCACCTTCATAGCGCCGGGACGGTGAAAGCTGGAGGAGCGAGAGAAGGAAAAAGGGAAGAACGAGAGTTTCTTCAAGAGAAGGGATGAGACCCAGGAACGGTGGTTAAGAGCAGAGATCAGTGGGGGAGGCGGAGCAGTCCGCTCAGATCGGCTCAAAGCAGACAAGCAGGAGAGAAAGACCCGGTGAGGCGAGGTCTAGCTTACAGGGAGTCAGTTAGGGGGAAGCATGTCCTCTACGGCCCAAACCTCACTGACCTCATCTCCTTCTGGCTGCAGGCAGCTCACCGCGGGGCAGATGGCATCTTCGTCCTCAGAGTCCTCCTGCTCAGAATAGGATGTGTCTGAGGCCAGGGAATGAGTTTCAGTAGAACGGACTAATTCATAGCTACGCTCTCTCTCTAATTTGAAATTGTTCATGTCCTTGGGGTGGCTCAGTTTGATTTTCTTCTTTTTGGGGGTCCGCGTTTTTTTCACTCGCTCCCAGGGCTCACTGGAGAGATCTTCTCTTTCTAGGCGTCTCTTCAGTTTTCTCTCGAGACTGGCAGTTCCCTCACGTTTCCCTCGGCAACAGTCGTTCTGCGGGGAGAAGACGAACAAACTCCACTGCAGCCTACTTTTTGCCTCCTGCTATGCTGGCAACGCTAAAGAGAATGAGAAATGGCCCACAGCGCCAACGCACCTGCGCCCAGGTCCTACCGCTAAGTTTACTCTATTGAGATTAACCTGCCAGAGCGTGAATCATGCTCACAGATCTTCTCACCAAATCCATGAGTAAATGCACAGCTTCTCTTTCTTTCTTTCTTTCTTTTTTTTTTGCCAGTCCTGGGGCTTGAACTCAGAGCCTGGGCACTGTCCTTGAGTTTCTATTGCTCAAGACTAGCCCTTCTACTACTTGAGCCACAGCATCAAGTCTGGCTTTTTCTGTTTTTATGTGGTACTGAGGAATGGAACCCAGGGCTTCCATGCATGCTAGGCCAGTGCTCTACCACTGAGCCACCTTCCCAGCCCCTAAATGCACAGTTTCTACCTTAAGTGTTTATGTCCCTCTGTGACCTACAGGGTGTCCTGAGGAGCTACACAATGGTGCTCCTTGTGTACGTACAGCCACAGCTCGATGGAGAAAGCATGCTGCCGAGCATTACGGCCATCTCCTGCGCGCCACCATTTGGAATTGCAATGGAAAACACCGTAAATGCTGCATGGCCTTTCATGGGCATCTTCTCTGACATGGCTTCATCCTTCCTAGGCCTTCTATCCTATCCTATATTCTCACAGCCGTTCAAGGGGATGGGTGGGCAGGATCACTAAAATGAGGCAGGTCCGTACCCTTAGCTGTGCTAAGGACTTTACACAGCACTTATCAATAAGGCCAGCCTCAACACAGGCATTCTCAACCTTCATTCACACTGGCTGTCCTCTTCTTAGGTTTAGAAGAATAACATGCATTTATTTGCTCCATATGGAATATGTTTGATTTTTGACATTTCTTAAAAACAACTGAAGGTCCTTTCAGATAAAGTTACATTTTCTTTTTTCTTTTTTTTTTTTGTCCGGTCGTGGGCCTGGGCGCTGTCCCTCAGCTCTTCAGCTCAAGGCTAGCGCTCTACCACTTGAGCCACAGCGCCACTTCCGGCTTTTTTCTTTTTGCTTTGTGTGGTACTGAGGAATCGAACCCAGGGCCTCAGGCATGCAAGGCAAGCGCTCTACCACTGAGCCACCTTCCCAGTCCCTAAAGTTACATTTTCTTTTTCTTTCTTTTTGGTATACGAAGGTTTTAATTTAGGGCTGCTTTTAATTAGTTTTAAACTGGCGCTGCTAATTGAGCCACACCTCCAACCCAGCCCTGTTTCTGCTGGTTATTTCTGAGATATGATCTCACCAACTCTTCTACCTGGGCTGGCCTCAAAGTTCAATCCTTCTGCTCTGAGCCTTCCAGGTGTTAGAACCATAGGCATGAGCCACCAGCAAGCACCCAGCTATTACATTTTCACCTATGCAGTATTTCTCTTAATAATCTTACATCTCAATACTATTCCATGGGAATGAGGTTACCTGACTAACTAAAAAGCAAATAAAAATTCACGTAACTTAGAACTCAAATCCAGGCTGTGAATGAATCCTGCTGAAGTGATATCCCGTTTGCATCTTTCCTGGATCAAGGACACCAAGCCATCTTCTCCACCAAACCACTGGGATGGAGAAACGCCACATGGCCCAGCCACAGGCTCCGCCTCCCCTCACTCACCTTCTCATTGCTGGGTCTAACAGGTGAGCTGTGGTCAGCTTGCTGAGCAGGGCTTGGCTTTGCAAGTAAAGTCTGGTAAAGTTCCTGAATTTCAGGAAGGGATACCTGGAGCAGCTGGGCTTCCATCAACAGCTCATTCACTTCTGGACTGATGCCTGTGGAAGACGAGACCCATCAGAGTGCTGACCGCAAAGCGTGCGTCACACATGCACACCAGTGTGGGAATGCCGGGGCACACACAGGTGTGCCCCCTCCCCTGCTTCCACTGCATGCAGTGCACAATACAACTCACACACAAACCCCAAACTACAACTCCTAAGACCCCTGTTTACTGGGTATGTATTCATTCCACCAGAATTTCTCCCTGCTTATTATGGGTGCAGGGACAACTTTTACTTGAATGCACAGAACAAGGCTGGCACTCAGGGCAGGAGTTCTGACCACATGACTCGGCCCACGCTGAAAAGCAATGGCTAAGGAGCAAGCACCTCGAAGCTTTAGGCAAAACTCATGGAGTGTCATTTATTGGTAAGGAAAAAGGAGGTAGGCTTCAAATGTGCCAAGATCCTCTACAAGACCATCGCCTTGTTTTGTGTTTTTAGTAGTACTGGGGGTTGAACTCAGGACCTGGTACTTGGCTAGGCAGATGCTCTACCACAATTAAGCCATGCCCCTGGCCCTTTCTATCTATCTTCATTTTTAAAATAGGGTCTCAAGTGTATGCCCAGGCAGGCCTAGCCTCTGTCTACCTATTTATGCTTGCTACATAGACAGGATAGGTGTGCAACACTCAAAAATTGAATTGAAACAACAATGCTAGGCACCAGTGATTCACACCTGTAATCCTAGCTATTCAGGAGGCTGAGGTCCAAAGATTCGGGTTCACAGCCAGCCCAGGCAGAAAAGTCCCAATACTCTCATCTCCAATTAACCACCAACAAGCCAGACGTGGATTTGTGGCTCGAGTGGTACAACATTAGTCTTGGGGTGGGGGGGAAGCTTACTGACTGTGCCCAGGCCCTGAATTCAAGACCCAGGACTGGCACCAAAAACAAGAAAGAAGAAAGAATTGAAACAAGGGAGCCCATGACTTCGTATCACACTTAGATGTCATAGATGAGTCCTTTCATCCCTGAACACAAGGGACAAGGTTTTTCTCTTTTCTTTTGCATTTGCCAACCTTCAAATAGGAACTTATCATTTCCCTGTGTAGCAAATGCACACTGACCCATGTCCTGCATTTAAGGATACTTTGGTACCCGGATCATTTATGACAGAGACAACTTATTATTATTGGGCCTGTAAGACCGCAGTATTGATAAAATACAAACCGTGGAGGGGGACACAACTCTGTCCAGTGGAGAAGGGAGAGTGTAAATATGAGGTTCTGTTGTCCCAATCTTCAGGCAAGGAAAAGGACGTTGTGCCAGGAGGCTGAGAAACCTAATGGAAAAAAAAAAATTTTTTTTTCTAACAAACCATTTTTTTTTTTTTTGAAGGATTGAACAGGCTCCTACCAGCCCACCAAAAGTAACAAGCAACTAGGAAAAATACTTGCTATCCCCAATGGAAGTAAGTCCCCTGGCATCTGAGAACTGGCCAAATTAACACCAGGCTTTTAATCTTCCCAGCTTTACTTGGATTGACTTCAGAGAAGCAAAGACTACTGGGAAATACGCCATTTTTTCTTTGTGTACTAACAGATCATAACCTTTTTATCCTTATTAAAGGTTATAATGAGAACCCAGGCAGTACCCCTTTGAGTAAACCAAACAAGAAGCTACAATAAACTGTTTTGTAGAATGGGAACTTCTTTGTACAACTACTTAAATAAAAAAAATCTTTAAGAAAAAAGAAATCATACAAACAACTCCCTCCCATTTTCTTAGTGTTTTATTAAAGGAATCAGAGGAACACTTCTCTGACTCTGAATCAGTTAACAAATGTATCTTTTCCCTTTACTCATAAAGGTTAATACCCTGGGCAAAGACAATAAGACTTGCTGTGGGCTGCCCAAACAGCCACAACTCATCTATGCAGCAAATATTTAATCGATCTTCTGTTATGTAACACAGCAAAGCATTTTATTTCCAAAAGCCTGGCAAGAAATATGACAGAGGCCACTGTTCGGTCCTTTAATCTGATGAAGATGTAATTCCTGTGTCTGTGTTCATATGGCACAGGGGCTGTGACTAATTCCTCTCCCTCTCCTCTTCTATATAGTGCTGCTTTGAACAAAGGGCAGAACACATGCCAGGCAAGTGCTTCCCACTGGAGTAAATCTCCAGCCTAAAATTTTGAGGAGTTGTCTTTTCTTTTGAGATGGGCTCTTCTGTATTGACCAGCCTAGGCTCAAGTGACCAATGCCTCCCTTGTAGCTGGGATTATAGATATGTGTATGCCCAGCTTATTAAAAACTAAAACTAATTAATTAGCTGGGTCCCAGTGGCTCATACCACAATCCTAGCTACTCAGGAGGCTTAGATCTGAGAAATGCAGTTTGAAGCCAGCCTGGGCAGGAAAGTCCATGAGACTCTTACCTCTAATTAGCTACAAAAAAAAAAAAAAAAATGCTGGAAGCAGAGCTGTGGTAGAGTGCTAGCCCTGAGCAGAAAAGCTCAGGGGCAGTGCCCAGGTCCTGAGTTCAAACCCCAGGACTGGAAAACAAACAACTGAATATCAACATAAAAAGACTGAATATACTGTCCTCATTGTGCTTTCTTCACATTCTTTCCCTACAGTCATGGATAAAAAAACAGAAACTGCCCACTGTCCCAGGAGTAGAACCACAGAAACCCAAACCTTTTGCTCTGAAGAAACACAGGACTCCAACACTCCCAAAGATTAATCTTCAAAGGCTAAGAACACTGAAGGCAGGAAGCTGTGTCCCTCTAGTGACTTACGTGAGGGCAAGAAAGGGAAAAAGAAGTTCAGACAAGTGGAACTTGAAAATATAGTCAGGCACTGGTGGCCCACACCTGTAATCCTACTCAGGAGGCTGAGATCTGAGGATCACAGTTCAAAGCCAAGCTGGGCAGGAAAGTCCGTGAGATTCTTATCTCCAATAAACCACTAGAAAACCAGAAGTGGCATGGTGGCCCAAGTGGTAGAGCGCTAGCCTTGAGCTGAAGAGCTGAGGGACAGCACCCAGGCCGAGTTAAAGCCTCACAATTGACCAAAAAAAGAAAGAAAATACATCTATAGGTTAATACAAATATAAACAAGAAAGTGATTGTCCTTATCAGAAGGCAAGCATGCACTCCATAGCAACAGAACCCAAGAGCAGAGAGGAAGCCATCAGCCATGACGGCCCTGCACGGCCTGCAGGTGGGAAGTGAGGCAGGCGATGGTGATGGCAGCTGTACCACCAAGGGAAGAGCCACACCAGACAGCTACAGGGTCAGGAGAAAGGCTCAGAGCTGTGCAGGCGCCAAGGACCCGCGAAGTCCAGGCTCACCTTGTTGGTCTCTGATCCCTGTCCTGCGGAGGCCTGCCATCTGCTGTACAACAGTCCTGAGCCCACATGGTCCGGCACAAATCTGAGATTCCCTGACGAAAGCAGCTGCTGGGCTCTGCGCTGCCAGTTCACGGTTCTTTCGATCATGTACCGAAGTGCATCTCCCTCGGGGAGGCGGACTCGGATGCGCTGCAGGGAGGCCAGCAGGGGCAGGATTTTCTCTAACGGGGGCTTCTCCGACCGCCGACAATGGGGACAAAGCCAGATGCGGGGGCTTTGCAGGGTGCTGGGCGCCGCCACACAACTTGTGTGGAAAGCATCCCGGCAGAGTTCACACTGGATCATCGGAGTGGCCGGGGCCTTCTGACACAGACACACTTTCACCTCCACGTCTTGGGCAGGCGAGAGCAGCTTCCCTTCGTTGGCAAGCCTGAGCGACTGCAGAGCCTCCATTTCCTTCAGGCGAGCCTCCCCGAGCGCTGCCATCTGGAAGGGAGGTGACTGTCAACAACGTGCCACAGACATCTCAGCCGCCCCCAGACTCCGTGCCAGCTGCAGGGTAGGGGCTGCGCTCAGCTGGCTCCAGCTCACACTAACCAAGGCTGGATCTCCACATGCACACACCAGGCTGACAACCGTGCCTGCACCGCGAGGCCGGCAGAACTCGCTGGGCCTGGCACAGTAGCTGTGCGAGGCCTGCTCAGCCGTCCCCTAGCGTTTGGCCAGGCAGGCACTTGGCTCTTGCTTTTGCCCCTCCACTTGTGTTCAGCTCCACTAGTGTCTGCATTCTTGGGGAAAGTCCCTTACAGTAGGCAGTACACATGGAGCCCACCGCTCCGGGTGCTCCGCACCACTGCAGGCCTTCCTTTCCACACCACAGGTACTGAGATGGATGGTTGTGAAACCACTTTACCAGGTATTCACACTCATATATTCTCTCCCCCACCCCTTCACACACACACAACAATGAGACCATTAGTACAAAGGCAAAGAGGCAAGTCCTCTGCTGTGTGGCCCTCCAGTGCAGAGCCGCAATGTACTCATGTGTAAAGCATTTATTCCTTTTTTATTGAAGAGAGCCAAGTCCCAGGAAAGCACTGAGCTCAACCTGTATGAATAACTTAAAAGCACCCACAGACACCCATAAACAGAATCGTGTATAGTCATAATCTGGAGTGATACTGAACATATTTCTCTAAACACCATTTGCAAGCAGTATATAAACAGAATTATGACATATGCAGACTAAGCACCTACTACACGTACAAGGCATGCAGTAAATAAGCAGGCCAACATTTCTTTCTTATTCGTTATGTGCCATGAAGTAAAAGCACTCAAGAGGTGGCAGACTCAAACAGCCCTCCACCCTGAACTTAATGGACAGCCAACAAAAAGCTGGACAATGAAGCCTTCCTGACACACCACTGAGAGAGAACGAATCCATGGGAGGAAATGTTTTTCAGAACTGTTCTCTCCAAAAACAAACATTACAGGTTTGTAGAACTTATTTTCCTTTTCCAAATGATCAAAACATTCATTTGCCACAGTTTGATCACATCTGCCACCTTGAGACCCAACTTCACCTTGTGTGAAGGCCAGAATGAATTCTCCATTATCTGTTTTTTGGATTGGGGGAGGAAAATGTATAAATAAGGGATTTGGAGACAACCTGAAAGATCTACAAGTAAATCAGTAACAAATGTTTGGTACAGTAAAATAAAATTTCCTTATTTTTAATAGATGAATGTAATCTTCAGTAATATATGGATTATTGATAACAAGGTACCTCTTCCCAGAGCTCAGAAATAGAAAATAAACCTTAGAGGGTTTTACCATAATCAAAATCAAGTTCTTAAACCAAATGCCCATATACTAAGTAGGCACTGACTAGAAACTATGAAAGGTACCATATGACAAGGTTTCAGACAGACATATATGTGTATTTTAAGGGAGAGGAACCATAACTCCCAATTCATCTTTTAAAAATGAATCATAGATATAATAATAAACTAAAGTAGCTACATTAAAAATCCCAGAATGAAGCCAGGTACTGGTAGCTCACACCTGTAATCCTAGCTACTCAGGAGGCTGAGATCTGAGGATCTCAGTTCAAAGCCAGCCAGGACAGGAAAATCTACCAGGCTCTTACCTCCAATTAGCCACCAAAAAGCCAGCCGTGGAACTGTGACTCAAGTGACAGAGAGCTAGTCTTGAGCACAAAAGCTCAGGAGCAGCATGCAGGCTCTGAGTTCAAGCCCCAGGATGGGCACAAAAAAAAAAAATTAAAATCTGAAATCCCAGAGTGGTGTACATTTCTGTTAGAGATATACAAGTGTACTCCAAAAGTTATGAGTACATGTATGAATGAAAGTGAATCCATGTCATCACAAGAGGGCAGGCAGTGGCAAAAGAACACATGGGGGAAAGGTACCCCAGCCTAAGAACGAAACCATTCACCTTAGCTCTACCCACAGGCACGCGGACCAGGCATACAACCACCACCATCTACTACACTGTGTCCAGGCCGGCTGTGCAAGTGCATTCCATGATGCTCGTATGGTGACACAACACTCATCCTGTCATTATGTACCACAGACTATATTCTTACTCTACAACAGGCAATGCTGTGTCATTGGAAACATTCAAAACCCCATGTCAAAACAAAAGAAAATCACACAACTATTGCTGTTTTTATCTTCCCTGACACTGTGCTCAATAAGGCCTCATTTCTTGAACATGGTGCATTCAACCAATTGTGTTACCACTCACAAGAATCCACTCCCACATCTATTCAAGGTCTCACAATCTAACCTCCTGCTGAAATGCCAAGCGCTGGGATTAGAGGTGTGTGCCACCACATCCAGTACTAAGGGTATATCATTCATTCATTTCAATTTCTCGTTGCTGGAGACTGAACCCAGGGCCTTGGGAATCAGTGCAAGTGTTCTGCCGCTGAGCTCTGCCCCACTAGTCCTGGCATCTCTCAGTTAAACCTATTACACTTTTAAAAATAATTCGATTTTCCTTTCCAATATTCCTAATAAAGCCAAAGGATTTGAAATTCTTCCCCAACAAAAGAGAAGTGAGAAGAAAAACTTCCTACTACGCACAGCTGAAGCAGTCTCTTTGCTTTCCATTAAAGCTCTCTCCAGGTCACTCAGACTCTCTAATTTGGTGCTTTTCTTCTTCCCATTTGGCAAGGGCTCTTTTAACTTTCTCTGCTTTCTTTTCAATCCCAAAAGGCCAATATCACAACGAGGACACAGCACCTAATGTGGGGCAAAGTACAACCATTAGTAAAGTCAATTTCAGATAAAACAACACAAAAGCCTAAGGGCATGACAGGTGTATGTGCCTGAACAACTTTTTCTCTGAAATTTGTAGCCCTGAGGCTGCAAGAAGACTAGGAAGGAGGGAAGAAGGAAAAGAGGAATAATGGAAAGCAGGCAAGCAGGCAGGCCTGCCTGTTCTTAGTGATAAAAATGCTTACGAACTAGCTTCATTTATAGAAAATACAAAAAATGCAGCTAGAGTTGAGCTTAGTAGTGCATATCTGTAATCCCTGCAATGTAGGAGGGCAGGTAGAAGGATGATGGTCTGAAGGTAGTGAGACAGCAATGCTAAACAATACTTGGAAAACCTAAAGCAAAAAGGGCTGAAACGGTGGCTCAGGGGACGACTGTGTGGCAAGTACACAAGGCCTGACGACTTCAAACCCCAGTACCACCCCCTCCACCCCAAAAAAGGTACAGCTAAAGCACTTTATGAAAGGTGGATGGGAGCATGTATCAATCAGGCTAAAGCCAGGTATAGTGAAACAAGGCTAAGCACTAATCCATTTCACCGAAGTTCAACTTCACCTAATAGGGAAAAAATACATTCTTTCAATAGTGCATGTATCCTAAAATACATCCAAAAAACATTTAAAGGTTGCTGTACCAACTCACGAGCACAGACTCAGCAAGATGCCACCTGCCTGAGATGACCTACATGTTTTTCCAAACTTGAAGATCTAAGTTTTTGAAGAAGAACGGGTGGCAAACTTACCTCTAAGAGAGAATATGGAGAATTCTCAGTCAAGAATGTATTCGCGGCACATTCTTTCCAAACGTGGACTTCAGCTACCAATAATTCCAGCCTTGGCAGAGAATTCAGGTGTACTGGGATTGCTCGGCCTCTTGCAACAAGTTCCACGAGTGTGTCTAACACTGGCACCCGTCCTCCAGCCTGGTAAATTAGAAAAAATTAAACCACTTAGGAAAAAAAATTCAGTGAGCAATGGACCAATTCAGATTGCAACACTGTTCCCCTTACAGTGAGAGAACCTAGCCCTCACAGAGGGGCATGACGGGTCCTTTGTTAAATCCACTCACCTCACTTGTCTAAAATGCCAGCACCCAGAAGAAGCTAAGGCAGCAGGCCCAAAAGTTCCAGGATACCTGGAGCTACTTCCACACATTCACCAATAATAGAGTAACAGTATAAGTCATTCAGGAAACTGAACTGAGAAGGCCCAGCCACCCAGAAAGCTTTAAAACCATTCCCAGTTTCTTCTGGCCTCAGACACTCTGACTCAGTAGGTCAGGGGATGGGTCCATAAATGTGCAACTTTTAAAATTTCCTACGTGAAATTTTAGTTGTGCTGCAGGAATTTGAGAATAAAGGCCAATGGAAATGAGAATAAAGGCACTATATGTTACAGGGAAAAAAATTCCCCAGTGTTGCTCTAACACAATGGACAAACAGCAGCACTAAGGGGGGGGTCATCCAGAACCGTCTCTGGGTCTGATGCGGTAGCAAGTAAACAATACTGCCCAACTCTAGATCTGTTTCATCCAACATATTCAACCTGAATCCACTACTAACTACTGAATTCATATTTAACTATTGACTGTAATAGGCTTTGAAACTAACTCCAATGAGAAACACTAACCAGACAATTCCAAAAGGTAGAATATATACCATAGAATAACAATTTTAGACAATAGAAGAAGGAAGAGAAGAGGGTACAGTTTAAAAGAAACTTAAAGGAGATATACTAATTTGGTATAACATGTAGTAGTGGATTAGAAAAACAACCTGGGGTGGCTCGAAGGGGGCCTTGGGTCTATCATCCTATTACTTACTTAGGTGGCTGAGATCTAAGGATCCTGGTTCAAAGCTAGCCCCAGACAGAAAAGTCTGTGAAACTTTTATCTCCAATTAATCATCAAACAAAAAGCCAGGAACTAGAACCATGACTCAAATGGTGTCAGTCTTGAGTGAAAAGGCTAAGGGACAATGTACCAGCCCTGAGTCAAGCCCCAGTATCTGTACCTAAATAATGCTACAAGTGAATTTATTCTCTTTTTAAACTTACATGCAAGTCACTTAGTATAACATCAGACAAAATGTCACAAATATTGCATGACAAAGCACACTCAATATTACTATAAAATTTGCTAAGCTTCATTTTCTGAACAGTTGGGAGGTTACTTTTAAGTTACTACTTAATGAAAAGTCTGGGCCTATTACATGGCCCGGCTTAGCCGTGTTATCATATACAGAGTTACTGTGCCTACTACTCTTGATTGGCCTCCAATTGGATCTGCCAACAAAAAACAAATAAAGAGTTGTTAAAAAGTTTATCTTACAGTGGCTCACGCCTGTAATCCTAGCTACTCAGGAGGCTGAGATCTGAGGATCATGGTTCAAAGCCAGCCCGGGCAGAAAAGTCTGTTGAGACTTTTATCTCTAACTAGCAAAAAGCTGAATGTGGAGCTGTGTCTCAAGTGGTAGAGTGCTAGCCTTGAGCTGAAGAGCTGAGGGGCAGCGTTCAGCCCCAGAGTTCAAGCCTTATGACCAACAACAACAACAACAAAAGTATATCTTCTCTCACAACTTCAGTTTTGGCTATTTTCCTTCAATGTGCAAGCAAGAAGAAATCCCCATCCCTCCTGAAAGGGACGGTTCAATGATCTATGCTTTTAAATATCTGGGCAGCTCATCAGAATATAGCTTCCAAATGCCTCCAAAAGGCTGAAAAGAATTCACAACTCCAAAAACACTAGATGTGTGTGGTGAGAAGAGAGAGAACCGCCCTAACACCCTTACAGCTTTCCAAGCCCTGACGCACACACCCAGGGCACACACCCAGCACCTTTAAAACCAACCTGCAGCGCCTCTGCGTCCTGCAGCCAGTCCCGGGCTCTCTGCACTGAATCCTTCAGGACTGCCCCATTGGGGAGGTAGGCAGGGATCTCCTCAATCTCCTTTACTGCTGTGGCAAGGCTGCTCAGTGAGTGCCGGGGTCTAAGGAAACCAAACACATAGCTTTTCAGCATTTGACAGCTCATTTTCTCAATGATTAGACAAAGAAATAAACTTATGATGAGGCAGGTCTAGTGGCTCACCCCTGCAATCCTAGCTACTCTCGGGGGGCTAAAATCTGAGAATTATGGTTCAAAGCCAGCCTGGGCAGGAAGTCCATGAGACTCCAATTCACCAGAAAACTCCAAGTAGAGATGAGGCTCAAAGTGGTAGAGCTCTATCTAGCCTTGAGTAAAAGAGCTCAGAGTCAGTGCCCAGACCCAAGTTCAAGCCCCACGACTGACCAAAAATAAAAAAACAAAAAATAAATTCAGTATAGCAAGTGAGCCTTTTTACATAGGATATTAAGTAATTTCATGGCTGAGATTTAAAAGCAAAAAAAAAAAAAAAGTGATTCAAGGAAATTTAAGTTCTACTTGTGCCTGACTTTATCATGGTATTACACAAACTAAAAGGTAACTATTTCTTCCATGTTAACATGCTCGAAGCACAGAATCAGAATTTTTCTACCCTCTTTGTTCAATGACCATTATTTTAGGATTACAAATGAATGACAGGGGCTGGGAAGGTGGCTCAGTGGTAGAGTGCTTGCCTCTCATACATGAGGCCCTGGGTTTGATTCTTCAGCACCACATAAGCAGAAAAGGCTGGAAGTGGTGTGGCTCAAGTGGTAGAGCACTAGCCTTGAGCTGAATGAAGAGTTCAGAGACAGTGCCCAGGCCTAGACTTCAAGCCCCACAACCAACCAAAAACAAACAAAATGAATAAACTAGAATTAAATTTTATGATGTATGTTGTCAACCAGATCGATAAAATCTGTCACAGCCAGGTACCCGTGGCCCACATCTATAATCCTAGCTACTGAAGAGGATAGATCTGAGAGTTTCGCTGATAAATCTGTGAAACTCATCTCCAATTAACCAGCAAAACTCATGTGACTCAAACTTGAACGAAAACACAGCTAAAGCATGAGTCCTTATGTGTTTAAATCACTAAGTTTGTTGTGCTCTCTCACCTAAATTAGGTCAAACAACAAAAAATATATAAAATAAAATAGAATATGATAAAATATAAATAAAAATATAGTAAGATATAAAAACTAACACTAAGTACTGGCATCACTACAGCTGCTTTAAAGTCCCTGGGCTACAAGTCTCTTCTGGCAGCTGTCAGGGCCCCCCTTTGTCACCCCCATTCAGCAGGAAGTAGCCAGAACAGAGCTGAACACTCCCGACAGCAGTCAGGGAAACTTCAAAGGGAGGAAATGAAGGAAAACATCAGACAACTGGTCCAGGTCAGTTTGCCCCCTCCATCCCAATCTGGTAGCCACTACCCAGGGGATGATCTTGCTTGTTTGAAACAAACCAATCACCATCTCACAAACTGCCAAGAGGGAGGGAGGAAAAGGTGGGGAGAGGCAGACAATACCCAAACAGTCCCTGACCATGCAGTGGATAATCAGTGAACAGTTTCTGGGTCCCACTGGGTCCCCACTGCTCACTCTCCTGAGTAGTCTTTATTTTCTCTTTACTAAATAAACTCTCAAGTGGGAGGGCCCTGAGTTCAAGCCTCAGTACCAGCACAAAAATTAATAAATACAGCAGGGCGCCAGTAGCTCACGCCTGTAATCCTACCTACTCAGGAGGCTGAGATCTGAGGATTGAGGTTCAAAGACAGCCCGGGCAGGAAAGTCTTTGAGACTCTTATCTCTAATAAACCACTAGAAAAACGGAAGTGGTGCTGTGGCTCAAGTGGTATAGGGCACTCACCTTGAACTGAAGAGCTGAGGGACAGCACCCAAGCCCAGAGTTCAAGCCCCATGACCAATTAAAAAATAATAATAATAATAAATACATTACTGTCAGAGTAAGTAAATTAGGGAGAGACTCTACCTCAGATGGCCAGCCTATGTCCTATTCATTTCTCAAATATAGTCTACTGATTTCCTAAGCAACAGTACGAATGCATGGATCATTCTCCACTGAAAATCTGCCTGGTCTCCATTTCACAGAATAATGCATGTAAGTTCAACTATTTCTCTTTAAGATTCATTGGATCTTAAGGTGTCTTTATTTTTTTGGTCAGTCATGGGACTTGAACTCAGGACCTGGGACTGTCTCAGGCTAGTGCTCTACTACTTTGAGCCACAGGGCCACTTCTGGTTTTCTGTGGTTAATTGGAGATTAATGTCTCACAAACTTTCTTGCCCAGGCTGTTTTTAATTAATCCTCAGATCTCCTTTGTAGCTAGGATTATAGGCATGAGCCACTGGTATTTGGCTAAGAGGAAGGTTTAAAAAGATGCACCCGTTTGTAATCTTCTCTCATTTCATATCTCACCTCCAGAAAAACCATGTCTACTTAATTCCTCTTATAATTAGTAAAACAAGAAAAAAGTAATATATTTGGAGGGAGGGGAAGCAGGGTACCCTGGGGCTTTAACTTGGGGGCCTGGGAGCTATCCCTGAGCTTTTTTGCTAAAAACTAGCGATCTACCACTTGATCTTCAGCTCTACTTCTGAGTTTTTGGTGGTCTACTGGAAATAAGAGTCTCATGGACTTTTCTGCTCAGGCTGGCTTCTAAGTGGGATCCTCAGATCTCAGGTTCCTGAGTAGCTAGGTTTAAGCCACTGACAAAAATATTCTTTACCAAAGTTCCAAAGCAAGACCATGTAGCTCAGATCTTCTATCTATTCTAAATGTATGATTACAGCAAATGAACACTTGCCAAATGCCAATGCAACCTTCCCCAAGGGAAAAATGCAAGCGAGCTTTTCTACCTGGCCTTGAGAAGACTCTTGGCTTTGTCGTCCCAGTGCTCTGACACAGTAAGCAGCTCTTGCAGCCGGGCCATAGCTTTTTCCACTGCTGAATAGGGGGCCAGCCCAACCCCCAGGTCTATGAGACGTCTCATATCATCCAAAGTAAGGGAGCTGGGGTCTAGGCAAGCTTGCTGCACCTCTTCTAGCCATCGAGCCTGTTCCAGACGGACACGCATCTCAGCAAGCTGTGGAAGTTCAACATCAAACTCAAAGCTGACGTCGAGCAATTCCTGCAGCTCGGCAGCACTGGGCATTTCCTCCAAGAGGAGCTTCTGACTATGCTGTTGGAAATCTTCTACACGGTTCAACAGATCCTAACAGAAAATAAAGGAGCAAAACCAAAAGACAACTTAGTAATATCAATAATAGGCTTCTTTCTTTCAGACTTAGAATCTTAATTTCATATTCCATGTAATCCTCAACCGTCCATTTGATTTTACACATCATATGGTTGAGGCAAGACTTGATGTCATTTGATAAAACAACCACACATTGGACAGCAACTGCAAGTACGAGTTAATAGCTTTCATAGGAAAATTCCCACACATTCAATGTTATATAAAATACTTTGCAGACAAATACACAAACTATCTACTGAAGACCACTAAAGTAATGTCAACCAAGTTGATTTACAAAGTAAAGGGATTCCACACACCCTTCTGCTCACCTTTAGCAACGGTGTCTGACTGAGAACACATGGAAGAGCATACAACTGAGTCACAAACTGTCGGAGTTCATTCACTGTCAGCTGATTGGGGGATTTTCCTCCACCAGATCGGTATCTACAGAGACAATGGCCAAGGAAGCTGAATGAGGACATGTATGTTCATCACCCACAGATTCCCACACCACAGGTGGGAATTCTCTAAAGCCAGTCACAACAAGTTCAACAGACACAGAGCCAAACACAAGGAAGTCACAGCACCCACCTCGTTTGCCTTTTGCCATTAAGCAACTGCTGGGCAACAGAAGCACACTTCTCTGCATCCTGTGTAACTAAGCGAAGGTGACGCAATAGGTCGTTGTCTGGAAATTTCTTCATTTCTGACTCTTCAATTAAAGCCTTAAAGCTGACCAGGCCTAACAAGAAAGAAAAAAAGTCACCTTTCGGGCCATCATCCTTTCTATTGGCCATAATCATTTCTATTATTACTGTTATAGAACAGAGAGGGGGAGTATGCATGTCAGCCTTGATCCATAAATGTAATTAAAAATTATAGCACGTTTCAGGCCTTCAATAAATTTGTTCACCTGGTTGCTGTTTTGCTTTTTGTTGTTGTTGTTTTGGAGAAGTGTCTGGGCAAGAAATTCTTATGTGTGTAGAGTTGGTATTCAATATGGAAATTTTAAGATTTGATGAGTTAAAATACACACACACAGGCATACCACCAATATGTGAAAGCAAAGTAGGCAGAGATTGTTATTGTGGCCTGACCCAATTTGTTCTCTTTTATTTCATTCTGTAGTTGTCAAGTAACTCAAGTTAAGGATGATATATTGCTCCCTTTCCTACATCAAAGAGAAAGTTGCCTGTTCTACAGAAAGAAAAGAGAAAACATTCTGGAAAAAAGCTGGTTAGGTGGTGATTTTCAGTGGTATGACAGTGCCCAGTATTGGGGCCCAGGTCTGTAATCCTAGCTACTCAAGCTGAGATTGGAAGGAAACCAGCCCAGAAAAGTCTGTAAGATATCATCTCCAAAAATAACCAGTAAAAAAAGTAGGGTTGGAGACATGGCTCAAGTGTTAAGAGTACTCAGCTGACCAAAGAAGCTGAGTAACCATGAGGTCCTGAATTCAAATCCTAGCACCATCAAAAAGGAAAATGTAACTACAAGTTCCAGGGACTATGATTAGAACTAAGAAGTGTTAAGCCAATGTTTCAAATATGCCAAATATCCTGTCATCCCGCCTTTTACAAGATCAATTTTTAAAAATGAAATACACATAGGCTCTAACAGTAAGGTTTTCGTTAAATAGACCATCTTGCAAAATTTTTGCATTAAGATTTCCACTTGGATATATGGACACTCTTTGCTATAAAACCTCTGCCAATGATCTCAAGACATTGACAGAGTAGCTGGACAGTAATGAAGCCAGGCTGTAAGAACAACCTGTTCTGTTATAATGTAAAACTCAGTCCCAACTTGCTGCATAGACAGAAACTTTCTAGACCACATACTTTTCTTCTTGTTGATCTTGGCCTCCAAAGCTTCATTCACATTCAAGGCCCATTCATTGTAAGATTCTGCTCGAAGTTTCAATGCATTCATCATGGGGTAGAGATCGTCCAGAGTGTATCTGTACCTGAAAGACAACAACTCTTGACACACCTGGCTCTGGAAAAGTTGTGTGTTGTACTTGACACCTCTGAGCTCTTAGTAAGGATTTACTGCTGTTGATAAGGGGGAAAAACATTCTTTGCACTTACCTCAGTTTATATTTATAAGGAGGACAGGAACATAATTCTTTTACATGATGCAAGCAAACAAGTAAGCCAGGTTTGCAAGAACAGGAGATAGCAGACATGAAGCAAGTCGTTTTGCATTTTATACACTGTCGCTCATCATCTGGCAGTAGCTCGAAGTCCATTCTTTCAGAATCAATTACTCCCTAGAATAAAGTGTTCTTTAGAGACTTTCAAAAACAGTATAATCTACCAGCCCTCAAGACACACACAATCTAATAACACAGAAAAAGAGCACCTTACAAAAACATAGATGCATTATTTACAATGTATAGAATACAAACTATTAAACAAGGGACTAGAAAATATAGTTATATTTAATTTACCTACAGACAACTCCTTTTCAAAAAGAGATTTAGCTATTCTGATCTAAATATGGGAATGTTTTAAATTAGACTGAATACCATTGAGATTTGCTGTTTATCCTACTCCAGGTTGGCCCTGTCCATGTTTGGGCCATAAATAAGCACTGCTGAAGAATGAATGTCGCACAGGGTTTCAGAGGGCCACAGGGGGAAATCTATGGAAAATATAAAAATATGCCCCATGTGCTGGCTCATGCCCAGAACCTCAGCCTTTGGCAGGCTGAGGCAAGATGATGCAGCCACCAGGAGCTACATAGGGAGTACACAGTACGTAGGATAAATGTCGATGCAGGAATTATCCACTGAATGGTTTCCTAACTCTTACCTACTAATAGGGTAGAAAATCTGAGCAACAGGAGAAACAAATCATAAGAAAGCATTTCCTAAATAAAAGACTGTCAAGGAAAATGAAGTCTTAAGCCAATGAACTCCAACTGGCTTCTAGAGGCTTTTCCAGGACATATCTTTTTCATTTTAAGGCAAACTTTTACTATCTATTCTCTTTAGCTGCAATTGGACCCAAATCCAACTTTCAGAATGGCAGTGCTGGTCAAGTCTGTGTATGAACCACAACTACAACAAACTCTTTTTTTGTTATTGTTATATTCCTCTTCTTTTTTTTTTTGGTTGATCATGGGGCTTTAACTCTGGGCCTGGGCACTGTCCCTCAGCTCTTCAGCTCAAGACAAGCACTCTACCACTTGAGCCACAGCACCACTTCCGGTTTTCTGGTGGTTTATTGGAGATAAGAGTCTCATGGACTTTTCCTGCCTGGGCCGGCTTTGAACCATGATCCTCAGATCTCAGCCTCCTGAGTAGCTAAGATTATAGGCATGAGCCATCAGTGCCCGGCTATATTCCACTTCTAACCACGATAATGAATGGATTTTAATGATAATGAATGGATTCTTCATTTTAATCTAGAAGTGATGATTAAAAAGACTTTGTAGCCGGGCACAGGTAGCTCATACATGAAATTATAGCTACTTAGGAAGTTGAGATCCAAGGACTGAGATTCAAGACCACCCCAGACAGGAAATTCCATGAGAATTTTATTTCCAATTAAGCATCCAAAAAAGCTAGAAGTAGACTTTGAGCAGCAGAACAGTTTAGGGACAGTGCCCAGGCCCTGAATTCAAGCCTTAGGACACACACACACACACACACACACACACACACCTTCAACAAGTTAAGCCCAATAACATACAAGAAGCCTTACCAATTTCCGGACAGCACACACACACACAAGTTAAGCCCAATAACATACAAGAAGCCTTACCAATTTCCGGACAGTTTACCAATTTCCGGACAGCACACACACACACACACACACACACACACACACACACACACACACACACACATACAAAAAGTTAAGCCCAATAACATACAAGAAGCCTTACCAATTTCCGGACAGTTTACCAATTTCCGGACAGCACACACACACACACACACGGACAGCGCACACACACACACACACACACCTTCAACAAGCTAAGCCCAATAACATACAAGAAGCCTTACCAATTTCCGGACAGTTTCCCGTAAAGCTTTCTCATCCTCAATCATAATGGCCATGTCCTTCTGAACGGTGGAGGCCACAACAACATCAAGCACATCGGCCTTAGAAGCCATCTTGCATATCATCTCATCGTGAGAGAACACACAGTAGCGGTGGAGCAGGCGGTAGTGCTCCACACACTGCCGGCCCAATGGTAGCTGTGCCAACACAGAAAGAGACATGACGCTCATCTTTCTTCTATTTCCCTAGTATTATCAAGTCTTGCAACCTGGATCAAAACACCTATCGCTTTCACCCTAACACCAGGTTCCTGCAAGGTCTTAGGTCTTATTTATCTTTGTATCTTGATGATCCAAAAATATTAGGTACTTGAATTGAAAAATGGCCTGGAAATAAAATGTATTAACAATGAATATGCACCCTGATGTGAAACTAGAAGTATAAATTCACACATTTCCTGAAACAACCTGTTTCAGGGAACATACAACAGCAAAATCTGTATGATGGAAAATAGGTATAGATACATCCTAGTTCTATTAGTCAAAAAGGTACTGGAATTAAGTTAGAAATTAGCTTTAATACCACACATACTTGCTCTACACAGTTCTCTTTTGATCAATGAGAAGTATTAATCCAAATAAAATGTCAATTTCATAACCACTGGAAACCAAACATGCCAGTAATGGCTGTGTTGTGAATACTGCAAGACAGCTGGTACAAACTCTTACACTACAGTAGTTTGGTACCAGTCCACAAGGAACTTTCAGCCAAGCCGGGCACCAGTAGCTCACACTTGTAATCCTAGCTACTCAGGAGGCTGAGATCTCAGGATCCAGGTTCAAAGCCAGCCCGGGCAGGAAAGATTGTTGAGACTCCTATCTCCAAGAAATCACCAGAAAACCGGAAGTGGGTGCAGTGGTTCAAGTGGTAGAGCGCTCGCCTTGAGGAAAAAGAAGCTCAGGGACCGTGCCCAGGCCCTGAGTTCAAGCCCCAGGACTGGCAAAATAAATAAATAAATAAAAATAAATCTGACCACCAAAACAATAAAAAGAAAGTTTGATTCACACAGCAGTGTGGCACAAGTGCCTTCTGTTACTGTGGTGTGGCCAGTGAACAGCAATGGGTTCAAACAGGTCTACAAAGGACCATTTTTAAAGCATTATACATTATTTCCACAGGAAAATGGTAAATTTTAAAATGCCCACCGACTAGGAATTACATACCCAATCAACAGTGCAGAAGTTAACAGCCTCAGCAAAATTAAAGCCTTGGTTGAAACCACTGTGGTAGGCTCTTGGAAATGTAATCACAAACTCCCCAGCACACTGATTGGTTCGATAAACCTAAAGAGAAAGAGATTGGAGATTTGAGATTGTTATTAACATTCTCCCCAAATACTAAATACTAAACCATGAAGTTCTACCAATTAAAAATGATTTAACTAGCTGCTGGTGGTACAAACCTGTAATCTTAACTACTCAGGAAATTGAGACTTGAGGATAGTTCAAAGCCAGCCCTGATAGGGAAGCCTTTGAGACTCATCTCCAATTAACCACCAAAAAAAACTGGAAGTGGAGCTGTGGCTCAAGTGGTAGAGTGCTAGCCTTGAGCAAAAGAAGCTCAAGGATAGCGCCTAGGCCCTGAGTTCAAGCCCCAGGCTTGGCATACATGTGCACATGGCGCACATGTGCACATGCTCACACTCACACACATGTGGGTGTGATCAATTAAAAATTTACTGCGGTAGGATATCACCTACTTCTGGCCACAAGATGGAGCAGTATCTGAATAGAAAATAAAGCTAAAACATGAGCCTTATATCTGGGCATGTCTAGGATTATGATACAGCATTCTAAATACAGCTACAATCAAAAATGTCCTAATGCCGGGCACCGATGGCTCACACCTGTAATCCTAGCTACTCAGGAGGCTGAGATCTGAGGATCATGGTTCAAAGCCAGCCCAGGCAGGAAAAGTCCATGAGACTTTTATCTCCAATAAACTACCAGAAAACTGGAAGTGGCACTGTGGGTCAAGCAGTAGAGCACTCGAGCTGAAGAGCTGGGGGACAGTGCCCAAGCCCAGAGTTCAAGCCCCTCCACTGACACCCCCCCCAAAAAAATGTCATCTATCTCAAAATAAGACCACCTATCAATTTAAGAAATCCTATTAGCTAAAAAAATCCAGAACTCCCAGATTTGAACCTCCAATTTACTCCCCACTAACTCCTTTTTCAACCAACCTGACCCCAAAGAACATGTACTACTCCAGGCACATGAAGTGGTACACTGAACTTATTTTTTATTGAAAGGGCACTGACACTCCATTTTGGTCAGCATTACAATATGGAATAGAATAGATTGGCAAATCTTGTGTAAGGGCTAAATAATGAGTGGGGTCAGCTGAGCAATTTCCTAGCCAATTCTAGTTCAGGTTCACATGCAGGTCTTTTTTTTTTTTTTTAAACTAAGGACAGCTGTTAGGGATCAGACTCTTTCTAGCTA